GGCCAGCTCCTGAGAAGTGTCCAGGAGGGCTGAGGATGGCTCTGTGTGTGCTGGGTCCCTTCAAATGAGTACAATCCAGTAAGGGAGGGACTGTTACTCCAGCTTCAAAGCAGACAACTGAGGCAGAGGGGAGTGGAGTCCCTGGCCATGAAGAGTCAAGAGGATGAAGAGGAGGAGCAAGGACATGAGCAGAGGCTGCCGAGGTCTGGTGCGCTTGGCCATGAGCCATGCTGGAAGAGCGCTTGGGAGGCATGAGTGGATGTGAGTGGCCCGCAGCGGGAGGGTGCCCTCGTGTCTCAGCTCACCCGGTGAGGAGGCCGAGCTGCTCCCTGCAATGGGACGGGACAATGACTTTAGGTGCTCTGCCCTCGCCACAGCAGAACACCCCTGCTTGTCCTCCCTCTCCCTGCCAGGCCCTGAGTGACTATTTTCTGTGCCTGAGACCTGCAGGGAGTGGGTCAGTAGCACTGGGAACAAAGGCACCTACTGATGGGTAGAATGGATTTCTGTCAATCTGCAACCAAAACAGTGGTTTTGCAAGTGGGGTTTCCGCGGGCAGGAGCCAGTCTCTGCAGAGGGAGTGAAGGATTTGTAGATGTCAGACCTGAGGCCCTGGAGCCCAAGAGTCATGGGAAGAACCGGGGTGACGGGGCGTCACCTTCTAAGCCAGTGGCTCTCAGAGGTTCCTAGGACCAGCCATTGGCATGACCCAGGAACCTTCTAGAAATGCAGAGAATGCTAAGTTCCCAAGAGCCCACACGAAGGTGCTCCTCCTGGTCTGGAGAGAGTCAGTTTCTAGTCCATCTGGCATGATTGGAGGCTCAGGGAGGGGAAGAGGTGTTGGTCTTGTTCAACACAGGACAGGGACCCACATGCCGCATCTCAGCCTGGAGGAAGTGAGATCGAAGCCATTGTGTCCTGGGGCAAGGGCTCCCGGCACCTTGGACCCAGCGAGCCTCAGGAACACAGGGCCGAGCCCTCACTCCACTCACACAGGTTGGCTGTGCCCCTCCCCACCTCCAGGGGACCGGCACATGCGGTGACACTGCCTGGGGACTCCAGGTGTGGAATGCTGGTGCCCTGTGAAATCCTAGGCAGGCTTTCCGGCTGCATGAAGGGAAGAGGCTCCAGGAAGGTACTTGTGGCCTCAGCCAGGCCGCCCTGTGGGTGAAGCGGATGAGTGGCCTGGAGCGTGGTGTGGGGATAGAGGCGGGGGCAGCCAGGCCTGCCGGGTCCTGTGACCCCTGTCCCCCTCTCCTCCCACCTGTGTTTCCTCCAGCCTGCCAGGGCCCCTTCCTTCTCACCCCTGCCCCGTCCCAGAGAGAAGCTGGGTTTTGGAAGGAGCTGCCCAGGAGGTAGGACATGGCAGCCACCTGGCCCCCTCAGCATATTCCCCAGAAGGCCGCATGGGTGGAACCAGAGAAAGACAAACAGGAGGCGTGGCCCAAATCCGTCTCGCAGGGTAATGAGCTGGATTTATGGAAAAGGAAACACTATATGATTCCACGTAATGGCTGTTGACAGAGGTTTGAGCTGTTTGTTCTAGCACATGAAATTGACAAACATCAAGGGCTGCTGGGCTCCCATCTCCGCTTCGCAGGTGCCTGTCAAAAGGTGTGCGGTTCCGGGCATGATTCCGGGGCACAGAGATTCCCGGAGGAGGAGAATGTGCAGAAGAGCCTGGGAGGGACATCTGCGGCCGCCATCCGCATTTCAGACACCTCCCTAGAAACCCCGAGCCACAGATGAGCTGATCTGCGAAGGAAGCGGGGTGGAAAAGCTGCCTCCGTTGTTCCCAGAGAGAACAGGCCACATTTTTAAAAATTTAATTAAGGCCTTAGATCAGGTTTGCGTAATTAAATTGCTGCTGTGAGTAAGCAGTGTGATAGATGAGCTCCCCTCGGTGACACGAGGCGTGAGGTGAAATGGGGCCCCCCGGCCGCTTCCTGGGTGATCCTGATGCGTTACATTCCTTGCCTGCATCTCAGAGGCGAAAAGCCTCTCACTTCCTGCATGGTTTTGTTTTTCAATCTCTGAAGAATGTTCTCTTCATGAGCGCAAGGAAAGAGGAATGATGTGTGGATAATTTCCGTGCTCTCAGGACATGTCTACACAGTCAACCAGCTGCAGACCTCGGGTGTCTACACTGTGATGCAGGAGCCCCTGACATTTCGGAAGGTTGCTAATGCAAAGCCAGACATTTCGCAGAGACCCCACACAGGCTAGAAAAACGGGCCATTTGCATGAGAAATCCTCCGTCAGCCCTAACAGACACCTCACAGGAGAGATTCCATAAGATGGGGAACGATTGTTTGGATGGTAATTTGCTTAGGGAAATTAAAAGGAGGGGCGACCCTTACACTGGATTCAGTTTTGAATGAAAACAGGAGGATTTCATCTGGTCCTGTAAGGTGGGCATGCAAGTTCTCGGGGAGCAAGAGGGGGAGCTGCAGACGAGGGAGGAGGGAGGGCTGGGGAGAGGGAAGGATGGAGGACCAGAGAGCAGGAGGTGGAAAAGCCCTTGCAACCCAAAGGAGCAGAGCCTGAAAGCCGTCGGGTGCAGAGGAGCCTCCGCTGGGGTCTGAGCCCCCACCCCCGGGGCTTGTGGGCCATGTGGCTTTGAGGAGCCAATGGACACATCTCTGGGGAACAGGCAGAGAACAGGAGAAGCCAGTACAAGCCACCTGAGAGCTGGTGGGCAGAGACACGCCTTTCTGAGGCACAGACCTAGAAGTGTCAGGGTGGGGAGAATGGCTGGGGAGCCGTCCAAGTCCCCCTGCTGGAGGGCTTCCACTGCCCTTCCAGGCTGGGCCTGCCCCAGGAGACCCCCAAGGTAAACTGAGGCCTCACTGAGCAGGAAGGACTTTCCTGTTAGGGCCACTCCAGCACAGCCGGCTTTGGAACGTGTGGAAAGGCTCAGACACCAACGCCGTGTGGAGGGCATCTGCTTGCAGTGCTGAACCAGAGACTCCTCACAGACGGAACCCAGAGAAAGGATGGGGAGCGGTCTCTGAGCGAGAACGGGGTCACCACCTCTCGTGGATCTAACAAACACCTGTGGAAAGGAGCCGCGTTAAGCCTCAGAGACCCTCTCACCAGAAACACTGAGGCCAGGCTGCTGGTTCCAAGGCCTCCACGTCTCAGGGACATTGGGACGATCAAAGGGTGGCTTGTCAGGCAGGCACGGGCTATGATCCCCCTGCCTGTGGGCAAATGGGCCATTCAAGAGTTTCAGGGAAATTTGCTGTTTAGATGGACTAAACACTCACTCTGGAATAATACAAACGTCAGAAAATCTGTTCATACCTAGCACAAGCTGGCATTTTCCACTTCTCAATGCATCCCCAGGTGCCCACCTCCCCGTCTTCCCTGCTGGGTGCCCCTGCCCTCCTCCCTGTCTTGCTCAGCCTCTCCCATGCCATTGCATGCATAACCTTTCGAGAGCTCTAAGAGTCAGGCATTTGACACTTTCTGGCAGAGGACTCAAGCACACAGGTCCACACTTTGGCCGCAAATGTCTGCCCAGCAAAGGAACTGGTTGGTGGAACACCTGCATCTGCCTGAATAGACGTGGCCCCACCACCCTCAGAAACCAGAGACCAGAGCCACCCCCTGAACTGTCACAGCGAAAGAGCAGTGTGAGGGAATCCGCAGCTTGCGCAGGAGACTGGCGGAGAACGTGAACCTGCCGGAAGCGTTCCTTCCCGGAGGGTGGGGGGCGGCCAGGGTCAGCGGGCCCTGGAAGTGACCTCTCCATTTCCGAGGGCACCCGGTTCCAGGGTGATTTATGGCTGCGTTATTCATAAATCCGTTCAGAGATGTAAACAGGGAGACTGCCTCCGTAAGATATTAATAACTTAATGAGTCTGTGCTATTTGTTTATGTAATGGATAATAGAGTCTCTGCAGGGGCCAGATATAATATTACAATCTGGTAATTCAATGACTGCTATTCAACACACACACAAATAGTACGAGTTTGAACAACTCAGTTCGGAGCCCTAGTGGCTTCATCACCAGAGCAGGCCTCCGCAGTGGCTCTCAGGAAATGCTTCCCCGGTGGAGCGGTGACTCCCAGGCCAGGCCAGGCTGCGGAGAGCAGAGCTGACCTGGTCTCCCTGCCCATCCTCCCCGGGCCTCACTCTCCCAGGACTCTCAGGCACCCGCCAGCCCTCAGTACCGCCCCATCCTGCTGGGCTCAGCCGCCATGAACCTGCCAGGACCCCACATGCCTCCCTCCTCGGGTCCTTTCTCCCCGGCTGCCACTGCCTGGCCTGTGGTCCACTCCCTCTTCCTCCAAACACCATTCATTCTCAGGACTTCCTGGCCCGCTCCCTGGGCCCCACTCTTTGGCTCTACCCCCAACTGTCCCCCAGCAGTCACGCATTGGAGGGAGGATCCTCAGTACCCACAGCTGAGACCTGAGGTGGAGGGAAGGTCACTGAAGAGGCTGTTAAGATGAGTCATTAGGGAGAGCCCTGGTCCAGGAGGGAGGTGTCCCACAGGAAGAGCCGATTTGGGTCCAGATGAGCAGGAAGGGGCGGAGATGGGTCTCCTCATCTGGACCCAGATGAGCATGAACCTGGAGGGGAAGACTCAGGGAGAAGGTAGCCATCTGCACACCGGTGGGGAGGCCCGGCCCATGTTCTCTCTCAGAAACAGCCAGCCCCGCTGTTGGAAACAGACGCTCGGTGCCGCAAAGAAAAATCAGCACTGAGACAAAGGATCTCTCAGCAATGAAATTTTTACTTCCTGGACTGCAGGAAGGGGACCCTCGCCAGCCATCGTGCCATGAGAGTACAAAGAACAAAGGAAAACACACACATTTATCACTTACACACTTGGGGTCGTCCTTACTGCTGTGTCTGATTTCCGTTGGCTGGAGCCAGACCTCACAATCTAAACTAAAACCCGATTGGCTAACAACTTAAAATTTTCTAAACAGGTAAAAGCAATGGAGAGCTGGGACATACCTGTGAACACGTCCAGCACAGATATCTTGGTTAAAGTACAAGGACATAGAATGTACTACGGGCCTGTAAGCATGGCGTGTCTAACAGCTACAGAGGATGGGGCTTCATAAAGTTATTAGCACACGTGTGATTTGGCAAGAAAGGAAACTTAAAGGAACTTCTCTACTGCCCCAACCACGGAGACCAGGCTGGTGTTGGCGCTGGGTACAGGGCCTCCCTGGGCCTCCCTGGGCCTCGATGCGCCCAGCCAGGCACTGTAGGACTCAGGGCTCTCCTTGGGGTCTAGTAATTGTATCAGCCAAACTGGGCGGGGCAGGTGGGGAACCAGGTGGCCGTGATCCTGGCCCCTCCCAGGAGGAGAGACAGATGGGCCTGCGGCTCTGATGTGAGGGGTGGGAGATGGGAAGGGTCCCGTCAGAGCGCTCTGCAGGCTGCCATGAGCATGAAGCACCTTCACACCCAGAGGTTCTGTGCCTGGGTGTGGGGTAAGTGGAGCAGAGGGTGCCTGTCCTGCAGGGGGACAGGCAGGGTGAGTTAAATGACTCTGGGCCTTTTTCCTTCTGTGAGGGCAGGGGGTCAGCAGTGTGTCCCCAGCCTTCTGCCCACCGTCGAGCCCTCACCAGCCCCCTTTCCTCCCCCGCTGCCGCTGAAAGACCAGAGCTCAGCTGTGCTCTGCACCCCGTCCCCGCCAGCCTCAAGGGCTTGTCTCTGCATCCAGAGAGAAGGGCGACGGCTTCCTTCAATTACGATCATCTGAAGTTAAGAAAAGAAAAATAAAGGAAAAAAAAACCCAGTCCCCATGACTCTGAGAATGACAAGGCTGCCTGTGATTAAGCTCTGAAGATTCAAGATCCTTTATCCGCTCAGCTGCAGTGCGCAGCCTGGGAGGGGCCTTCTCAGTTGGGGCTGGCGACAGCCTCCTCCAGGCGGCACCCCCTCCTGACGCTGCGTACCCTCCTGCCAGGGCATGGAGGGTTTCTCATCTTGGCACTTCTGACGTTTGGGGCTGGGCCACTGCCACTGTGGGCGTCCTGATGCTCAGCTCACTCCTGCCTCCACCCACAGGATGCCAGTCACACAGCAGCACCCCTGCCCCAAGTCCTAACACCAAGAATGCCCCAAGCCCTGGCAAGCATCACGTGGAGCCCATCCCCCGACCTAAGGCAGCCTCCCCATCCCGGGCCCAGCCCTGTCTTCAGGCCATGTGTCCCTCTGTGCCTGTCTCCTCTGGGCTGAGTCTGACTCCTGCACAGATGCCCGTTTTCTTCCCCAGCCTCAGTATCCCCATCTGTGAAATGAGGGTGACAACGCCCATCTTTCAGGACTAAGGTGTTGGTTAACCAAGACACTGACGCCCCGTCTGAACTGTAAGGAGAGGGTGCTTTGTGGGACTCCGCCCTTCTCATCAGGAGACTGCAGGAGGCCCTCCCGGGTGCCGGATACACAGAGAGAATGAAGCGTCTCTGTCCTCAGGAACCTGAAGGCTCTGAGGCAGCACGCCTCTCATGGTTATGAGGGTCACGGCTGTCCCCCATAGGCTGGGAGGGACCCAATGGCAGGAAAAGGAAGACTGGCAGCTGGGGAGAACTCTGGCTGGGAGGGCGGCCTGGGCTGAGTTCAGGTTGGCTGCTGTGTCTCTGGGGATCTCCTGTTCTTCGGTGAGGCCAGGCAGTCATGGGATGGGACCAGGGCTTCCACGAGTCCCCCACGCCCGTGGCTCCTCCAGCGCTGCGGTCTGAGGACCGTCCTCCTGAGCCCACCTCCTTCCACCTGTCTTTCCAGGACCCCTGCAGGCGGCCCGCCTGCCTGGTCATGTCGGGGCTCATTTTCCTTGAAGATGACTGTTGGGTCGTCTCTTTCCTGTTTATTTGTGAGCTGCGGTGTGAAACAGCGACTAATTCAGATTTTTACTGTGGATAAACAAATACAGAAAATTAACAGATGTGTTTTGCAGATGCACTCGACAAAAATAACATCCGTCGTGATGGCAGGCAGGGAGGGCGGAGCGGTGAGGAGGCCTGAGAGCCCAAACCCAACACCCACCGTGGGAAAGGGGCTGGGCTGAGACCTCAGAGAGGGTGGCAGAGTGCCCCGGGCCAGGTCAGCGTCCCGGACCAGGCAGCATAGCTGGAGAAGGACAGAGGGCGGGAACGCATGGAGCTGAGAGGGCAGGAAGCCGGGGCCCCGGGATGGACCAGGTGGCCACGAGTTCAACTGTAATTCAGCGTGGCAGAGACCCCAGGCTGGAGGTCCGGGAAGGCTCTGTAGCAGAGGAAGCTGGACCAGAGTCTGTGGATTTCAAAGTGCATCGGGAGGCCAAGGCCTGCAGACATGTGGACCTCAGGAATGGAATGGGGGCTAGAGCCCTAAAGGCAGGATGGAGCCCTCGGGGACACCCCATCCACAACTGGTCTCAGTGTCTGCCTCCCAATTCAAGTTGTGGAGAAACCTCCAAGTTTCTCAAGTCCTCACAGCCATAGGACAGGGGTAGGCAGGGCAGGTCCCTGGAGAGGACTGCAGAGGAGAATCCGGCAGGTGCACCCCACAGCCGGGGTGCCTTTCTCAGCCCCCCTCATTCACTGGAGCCAGTGAGAGCAGGAAAGAGCTGCTGAAGAAGGGAGCCCGGCAGGTGCACCCCACAGCCCTGGTGCCTTTCCTACTCCTCCTCGTACGCTGGAGCTGGTGTGAGGCTGTGAGTCTCTGATTCCTGAAGCTTAAAGAGTTCTGCCCAGAGCCCCTTCCCCGGGATGCTCGCAGCAGCAGAGGCCTTATTCTGCTCTGTCCCCGCAGCTCTGGCCAGCACTGGTGGGAGGTGCCCTGTGCTGGGCTCTTCCGACAGCCGGCCACAGGGTGCTGGAGGGGCCCGCCAGGGCCCAGGCTTGAACGGAACCCAAGACCACACGCTACAGGCAACTCTACGGATTCACAGGGTTCTCACCGAAAGCTCAGAGCCAGGCCACGCTGCAGACCCAAGCCCAGCCATATTCAGAAGTGAGGGTCGTCTGCTCATTTATTTGTTTGCATATGGACTTTTCATTTTGCCTTTTTTTTTTGAGACAGAGTCCCGCTCTGTCATCCAGTTGGAGTGCTGTGGTGCAATATTTACTACAACACCTGCCTCCCGGGTTCAAGCGATTCTCTTGCTGGGATTACTGGCACCCACCTCCACACCTGGCTAATGTTTGTATTTTTAGTTGAGACAGGATTGCGCCATGTTGGTCAGGCTGGTGTTGAACTCCCAACCTCAGGTGATCCATTCACCTTGGCCTCCCAAAGTGCTGGGATTACAGGCGTGAGCCACCACTGTACTCTTGTTCTATTTGTCAATATTTGTTATAGTTTCCTAACTTTAACAAGTGAGCATGCGGAACTTTTACCTTTCTCTCTTGCTGAAAATTGTTTTAAAAGGCTTTTACCATTAGTTTCCGTTCTCTGGGTCATGGTTTCCATAAACATCAAGTCTCTGTCTTTTCCCCAAAATATCTGAACCCCTTTATTTTCACACACAAAGCATCACACACACAAACACACACGTATGTACATTTACACACGCACGTGTGCATGCACGCTCACACACACACATACATGTGGTCACATGCATTCCTTCCTGTGTGTGCATTTGCAGCACACACTGGCACCCATGCACGCAGATCTACTTTCACACGTGTGCGCACACACACTATTTTATCCTCTGGAGCCCAGAAAACCGTCGGGTAAGCACCGAAGAAACCATCAATGAATGAATGAAGGGCCCGTCTTCCTCTGAATGCAGGTCTGGGCTTCGGGAGGAAACATTTGCACGAATTGTATTTCTCTCATGTGAAGGAGACACCACCTCCTGGGAATGCTCTAATTTGCCTTTTCTTTCAGAAGAGACTGTCATGGGCAGGGAACTTTCTTCTAATCTAATTTTACCCCCAAATAAAATAAAAGACTCAAAGCATATGAGAACTGGGAGAAAATGGCTTGGTCCAAGCCTGACATCCAGCGCCTGGGGAAAGAGAGGGGGAGGGGACAGCAGGGAAGGGGACCATGCTCCTCAAGGCCTCTGTGCTGCCCAGGCAGCTAGGAACAGCAGAGTGGCCAGGAACGGGCTGGCACACCCCTGTTTGGGAGGCACCCCTGCTGGGGAGCTCCTGGAAGTCTGACCCGGCTCCAATGCATGGTCCATTTCTCACAAACACAGGAGTGGATTCCGGCTGCAGCAACCATCAGTCCTGGCCCTCCTCCTGGGTCTTGGGCTGTCGTGCCAAGATTTGCCTGGGACAGTCAGACCCCCGGGCAGGTGATGTCTCCACCTTCTTCAGACAAAGCTACATCCAGTGCTTACCCAGCCCGGGCAAAAGCAATCGCCTGGAACCTGGGTTCTGGTGGGCGTCACAGGGGATGGCCCTGCCAGGTCCGCACCAGCCAGGTGGACAGAACCGGGAGGCGACAGGCCCCACGTTGTGTGGCTGGGATGTGAGGGGCGTGTGTTGCACACTTGTGACTGTGGGAGTCTGCACAGCTCTGCGCTCTCCCATTTTCCTCAACATCATCTTCTGAACATTTGCACTCAGAAATTCTTCAGAACCGTCATAATGGCTGGTTAAGGTGAACAGACGATTCTGATCAAGGGCTCTTCTTCATCTGATGAGAATTGACTGTTTTCTTCCATAGACGTATGAGGTAGCGAAAGTGAGAGGAAGACGGTTGGGAGAGAAACCCACCCTGTCTTCGGGAACGTCAGTCCCAGAGGGAGGGACAGATACGTGAGTGGACAAATAAGCGCACTCTTTTGTCCGAGACCCGTTACAAGAAGATAAGACAGGATTGTGAGGCGGAGATCAACCAGAGGGTGTTAGGCCGACAGCCATTATCTCCTGGTAAGTATTGATGGGTTAATACTTCCTAAAACATCTGAGTGCATCTCAGATTATGTCCTCAAGATAAATCCCTAGATGCGACATTACTGGCAGAGAAGTATGAGTATTTTTTATCATTATTATTACTGTTTGGAGATGGAGTCTTGCCCTGTCGTCCAGGCTGGAGTACAGTGGCACCATCTCAGCTCACGGCAACCTCTGCCTCCTGGGTTCAAGCGATTCTGTGCCTCAGCCTCCCAAGTAGCTGGGATTATAGGCGCCCACCACCACACCCGGCTAATTTTGTGTATTTTTAGAAGAGACAGGGTTTCACCATGTTGGCCAGGCTGGCCTTGAACTCTGGACCTAAGGTGATCCGCCCACCGTGGCCTCCCAAAGTGCTGGGATTCTAGGCGTGAGCCGCCGCGCCTGGCCAGACGATTCTTAACAGACATCCTTCAGGCGACTATCAGGCCTGCGCACCCTCAGGAGATCACTTCCGGGAGTGCGCCGGCTCACCTGGGCATCTGCTTTCTGTTTCGACCCGTCCTGTGGATTTCCCTGCACTTTGCTTTACACAAGGACCCAAACCACCCACCACAGTCCCTGCCACAGGAACGTGGCTCCACCTCCTCTGGGGAGCCCCTGTCCTCCACGGGGCCAGGCAGGCTGGAAACACACTCACATGTTCCTAAGCACACACGTTGTTCAAATCTCCATCAGATCCATGGGATCTGATGCATTAATGATAACGTCACTGATACAGGAAGACTTTGCCTCAGAAGCTGGGGCTGGCCCATTTTTCATTAAATAATATAATTTGTTGCATTGGTATGCAAGGACAAATAGCCTGCCGAGCTGAAAGCCTGGAAAAAAAGTAATACAGTGTTGTGTTCACCGGCTGAAGCCAGCTTGGAGGATATTCCTCATTCTGACTTAAATGTATCTTCTGCCCACTCAAAGCAAATGCAATTTTCCTTTTTATGACTATGGGTTATTTACATGGAAAAAGTTTAAATAGGTCCCTTGCTACCAACAGCCACTGCTCCCCACAGTGTGGCATCGGAGGGGTTGCCGGGGTCAGGTCCATGCAGAGGCCCTCGGAGGCCCCAGAGGGAAGGAGAAAAGCAGAGTGAAGAGAGCCAGGAACGCCCGTCCTGCTTGGTCAGGCAGGGAGCCCTTCAGGGCAGGGACAGAACCCCTCACGCCACCTCCCTTCCCTCTCTCCCTCCTTCCCTCCCTCCCTCGTTCCTTCCTTCCTTCCTTCCCTCCTTCCCTCCCCCCCCCCCTCCTCTCTCCCTCCCTCCCTCCCTCCCTCCCTCCCTCCCTCTCCCTTCCCTCCCTTCCTCCTTCCCTCCTTCCCGCCCTCCCTCCCTCCCTCGTTCCTTCCCTCCTTCCTCCCTCCCTCCCTCCCTTCCTTTCTTCCCTCCTTCCCTCCCTCCCTCCTTCCTTCCTTCCCTTCCTCTCTCCCTCCCTCCCTCCCTCCGTCCCTCCCTCCCTTCCTTCCTTCCCTCCTTCCCTCCCTCCCCCCTTCCTCTCTCTCTCCCTCCCTCCCTCCCTCCCTTCCTTTCTTCCCTCCGTCCCTCCCTCCCTCCTTCCTTCCTTCCCTTCCTCTCTCCCTCCCGCCCTCCCTCTCTCCTTCCTTCCTTCTTTCCTTCCTTCCTTCCTTCTCTCTTCTCCTTTTGGAGGGCATTTAGATAGTTTTCCAATATTTCACTGTTAAAAACATAATTCTGTGAACATCTTTAGCTTGCCTTTGGGCTTGCGTCCGAGAGTGTTTCTAGGGTATATACCAGGGCTTCTCCACAGTGGTGAGCAGGAGCTGCCTACGATGAGTCCTGGCCTGCAGGCAGCAGCTCCCACGGTGGCTGTGAGTCACACTTGCCCAGGCCGGCGCCCCACGGTAGTCCCGGCAAAAAGCTAGCACCGAGGCTCAAAAGCGGCAATGTACATGGACCCCTCGTGGAAACCAAAGCGTGGGGAGAACGTTGCTTTCCCACTTCCCCCGACTTTGTTCCACCTTCCCACGAGACATTGGCCACCAACACTTTGAGAAGATGCAGACG